GAGTAAGTTAACTAACGTTTACGGAGCATTAATCATAAACTGGTAGTTACAGTAACAGAGAAAGAAGCTACCGTAACCGAGTAGTCTTAACTAGTTTCTACCGAAATTTTTAATCGTCTTTGATCGGTTACTGCAGACAATTCACATTGCAAGTGCTATATTAGCAGCATCGCTCGGTTGTTTTTAACTAAAACTTGGTTATATTTAACCTTTTATTTTTCTCAGTGTATAATAGTTATCATATTGCAATTACAATTATGGTAATTATAGTTTCAAGAATTATAATTATTCAAATTAAATTATAATAATTATAACTGTATAGTAATTTTCATAAAAAATTTTATTAAAAAACTAACAAAACAAATTCTGATTTAAAGAGCAAGTAAGTAGTGGAAAGTAGTTTTAGTCAGACATAACTTTAGTCAGACATAACTTTATACTGTCAGCACAAGTAGTAGAAGTAAATTTCAGTCAGACACAGCAAGTACAAACTCGTATGATTTTTTTTAATTTTAATTATATATTTAACGTCAACTTTCATAAAGTTAATTAAATTTATTGGGTTTTTAATTGTGATTATAATTTCTATAACTACACAGGAAAAAAAAGTCTGACTCCGTTTACACCTTAAATTCAGCCTTAAATTATGAAGCCTTAATTATACAACCTTAAATTATGCATTTCACATAAGCCTGTCCTTGTTTAACGGGGCTGACTCCGTTTACACCTTAAATACAGCCTCAGAAATAGGCTGAAAGCAAGACTTTTTTTTAGTGTGTATAATTACTACAATTATAATTCTAATACTCTCTAAACTTTAATTAGTAAAAATATTTACTAATTTGAATTAGTGACTGACTTTTTGCTTTTGAATTAGTAAACTTTACTAATAAATTAGTAGGGGAGAGTGGTCCTAAGTTGGCCGTGGGCCTAAGTTGGCCACCCTGCATTTCTCAGAGATGGTATACTGGACGAATCTTTAATTTTGTGGTATGATATATTGATAAACCATGATATAATTTATGGACCTAATTATAATCTAAGATTCTTCTACGCATTGTGGGGACAATAATATTGTTTACGACCAAAACAATTTAATTTTTCTTGTTTTTTCGAGAGCAGCTACAAGAGATAAATAATTAAAAATTTCTAAATGAGTGTGTGCGCTAGTTCCTTTATTTAATGTTGTAATAAGAGGTTCTGTTGATTTTTTAATTAATTTTTTTTTATTAGCGTAATAATTTGAAATTTGTAAAAATCTACAGTGGTCCTAAGTTGGCCACCTATTGTTTTTGTTTGTTTTTATTTATGTTTTGCTTCTTTTTTGTGTTTTTCATCACGAGAAAGACCGTAAAAGTGTAACGTAGGAATTAAACAAAGACAAAAAACAAAAAAAATGGTTTAAAAAACAATAGAAAAGACATAGTACAAAAACGCCTGTCTCCACAGCCATCCACCACTGCAAATAAATAAAATAAAATAATGCTTCATTTTCTGAACAAAAATAGTTCAATAATCCGTTTTTATTCTCCTAAATGTATCAAATTTGTAAAATTTCTTCGTAATTGAAAAGAATATGCATTTCTTTCTTATATACAAGCGAAAAAAAGTGGTGGCCAACTTAGGACCGCTATTTCTGAAATGTCCAAAATGCATCTTTTCACTATTTTTTGTATTAAGACTACAAAAGCTATTCTATAACGTTCTAAATACCACAAAATTATAGCAAAACGATCTCTGAACACTAATATATACTTGCCGAAGTGATTAAATTTCATTTTGTTAATATTTTCGACCAATTTGCTTAGGCGGCCAACTTAGGACCACTCTCCCCTAGAAATTACTATTTATTAGTAAAATTTACTAAGTCAAAAGCAAAAAGTCAGTCACTAATTCAAATTAGTAAACATTTTTACTAATTCAAATTTAGAGAGTAACTCTATTTGTAATTATCATACTATAATTATAATTACTATAGTCATAATTATTATAATTATTATAATTAAAGGAAATGAATTTATCATTCGGCCAGTTAAATATTAAAGGTGAAAAAAGCTATCAATTATCCGAATCAATTTTACAAATAAATTAAATTATCTTAAAAAATCTCTTGATAAGCTCATGGGCTTCATATGCATCGACAGCACAGCTGCCCCAATACAGAAACCTGCTTAATCTGACAAATATTTTCGAAATTAATTAATAATTTCAAAATTATCAGAGCAGTCTACCGGCACACAGTGGGACCAAACTGCAATTTACTGTTCATAATAGTCTAGAGCCTTTATTTTTTAACCGATTTTACTGAATTTTGTTTTAAATGAAAGATTATTAAATTTGGAAGAGATTTGTTGAGGCCGAATTTTAAATTTCAATTTGTTTATATTTATTTTTTTATTGCAAAGTTTAACAAAAGCATTTATTTTTAAGAAAAAGTTATCTCCAGCCTCTATAATCGAATGGCACGTGCTAAAAACTTTTTAGAAACACCTAGACTACTCTGTAAATTGTAAAAAATTTGTGCAGGTAAATATTCGAATGTTATAAACAAATCATATTAACAAACAATTAAGTTTACAACAAATTGTTAATGTGGATAAACGCTTTGATAGATTTTGATGAAATTGTATACTTAAGGCAAGAAGACTAGAGACAGGAGGTAAAACTTCGGTAGTGGGGGTATGGCAATGCTGAGTCGCTCAGCTGATGTATGGTCAGGCGTTTACTTTCAAAAAAAGTTTTCGCCGCAATAGACCACACGGACTTCTGCGCAGCTACACACGTAATTGAAATCATATCATACACATATGTAAAACATATGGTATACAAGAATTTGAATGTGTGAGTGATGGTCAGAAGCACCGCGCCGGCGACTTTTCGAAACGAAAAACGCCTGGTTAAAGAAAGGTTCTTGACTCATCCCCACTACCGAAGTTTCACCTCCTGTCTCTAGCCTTCTTGACTTAAGGGTTTTTGGGGTCGCTGATTAAGAATTTGATGTTGGTTTTTCAATATTCAAAATGGCGGATCCAATATGGCGGATGCTTTTTTTAAATCGATTCAATTTGTCTAAAAATCGTTACTCGGGGGTTTTTGGGGTCGCTGATTACAAATATGACGTCAGATTTTTAAGAATACAAAATGGCGTTGATAATATGATAAAAATCAAATTTTAATTATGTTTTATACGTTAATTCTTAAATTGATTTTATATACGTTTTTAAATAAAGGTTATAAAATTTACTGAAGATTTTTATTGTCTTGTTTTGACTATTTTATTTATTTATACTTATTTTGATACTGAATAATTCAAAAAAGTAATAATTTTTTACAAATTGTGATTAATTTGTACACTTTAAAGTATGTTTAAATCCATCAATATTAATAAATTTTTTAGCAAATTTAAAAAATATTATTGCTTTAAACAATTTTTTCACATCATCGTATTTTTCAATTTTTTACAATAATTCTACATAGTGTAAGGATTTTTAGCACAGATTGTTAGTCTTATAAGTGATTTAAATTTCGCGGTAAAAGTAAGCTTTTCATATTTGCCGCGAGATGGCTTGGAGCTTTTTTACCTATAAGTGAGAACGATAAAAAAAATATTAATAAAAAAAATATAAAATTAAAAAAAAATAATAATAATAATAATAATAATAACAAAAAAAATATTAATTATACTTAAAAAACCCAAAAAACCTCTCCGAGTAACAAGTTTCAAGTACATCTAATCAATTTTTCAGAAAAGCGCCTTACACATTATTAAAACACATTCATTAAAAATTTTTAAAAACTAATTACAGATTCGTAATCAGCGACCCCAAAAACCCCCTAGTAACGATTTTTAGCCAAATTGAATCGATTTAAAAAAAAACATCTGCCATATTGGATCCGCCATTTTGAATATTGAAAAACCAACATTGGATTCGTAATCAGCGACCCCAAAAACCCTTAAGTATACAATTTCATCAAAATCTTTTAAAGCGTTTGTCCACATTAACAATTTGTTGTAAACTAAATTATTTGTTAATATAAATTGTTCATAACATTCGAATATTTACATGCAAAATTTTTTTACAATTTACAGAGTACTCTAGGTGTGTTTCTAAAAAGTTTTTAGCACGTGCCATTCGATTATAGAGGCTGGAGATAACTTTTTCTTAAAAATAGATGCTTTTGTTAAACTTTGCAATAAAAAAATAAATATAAACAAATTGAAATTTAAAATTCGGCCTCGACAAATCTCTTCCAAATTTAATAATCTTTCATTTAAAACAAAGTTCAGTAAAATCAGTTAAAAATGAAGGCTCTAGACTATTATGAACAGTAAATTGCAGTTTGGTCCCACTGTGCGGCAATAGAAAGGTCGTGGGCTCGTATCCCACCGTGCTACCGTTTTTTCTGAGTTCTTTGATAATTTTGAAATTATTAATTAATTTCGAAAATATTTTTCAGATATTAAGCAGGTTTCTGCATTAGGGCAGCTGTGTTGTCGATACATATGAAGCCCATGAGCTTATCAAGAGATTTATTTAAGATATTTAATTTATTTGTAAAATTGATAGCTTTTTTCACCTTTAATATAATTATTATAGTTCTAGTAACTATAATTACCATAATTAAAATTTATTGTAATTATAATAAATTGCTATAATTGTAATTATAAGTACCTACTATAATTATAATTACCATAATTATAATTTGCATAGTTATAATTACTATACAAATTATTATTAAAAGTACTATAATAAAAATTTGTATAATTATATTTACTATAATTGTAATTATAATTGCTACAATTATTTCTTTAACACTGAACACACAAAATTATAACAGAAAGTTGATTATTGTAATTTTCAAAGATAAAAAGGAACTCAAACACTGATTATTGTAATTTCCAAAACAAGTTAAAAAAGAACTGAACACCTGAAACTAAATTTAAATTTCCCAAAAAAAAAGAATAGAAATTTTAACCACTAATAAAAAGAAATGTCTAGTTGTATTTGCAGCTGGCTCAGAGCGCTCTTCCGTCGCTCCCGCTCAACCCGAGAGGCCGCCGCCCCCGCTTCCCCCGCCACGCTGTCCGAACAGCGGTGTCTGACAATGGGAAACTCCTCTTAATATTGGGAATCTGATGATAATGAATACACCGAACCCATTGCCATTACTATTCAATGCAAACAGCCTCAATTTAGAGTACCAGCTTTACGAATTAATTATAAAGCGTAGTAAAGCATGTTCTGCATTTATAAAACGAAATTTACGTCGTAAATCATCAACAGTTAACTTATGGAGTGTAAATTTCGATAATGACATCAGACAATGTATAGATTATTAAAAAAAAGTAAATAATATGGACCTTCAGGTGTTTTAAAAAAACCGAAAGAGAAAAAAAACAGTGCCTACTGTCCAAAAGTGTCACATTAAATTCGATCTTAACGAGTATATACTGCATTCGACATTCGAATCAAAGACTTTTTACCTTTAAAAAAACAAAAACACACAAATTCCCTTATTCGCGTATTATGCACATATTTATAGTGTGTATATATTTTTTTTAATTTGCGAAATAACTCGCGTAATTGTAGATAATATCGAGAAGAATAAATGAGTCTAATTATAAATAATTCCTTGTGTGAGAAAAAGAGAGCGAGAGAGAGGGAGAAAATGGGAAGAAAATACTGTCAACGCGCAGTGCTGTACAAATACAGCGTTTTATGTATATCTATATAAATATATAATATAAAATATGACTAGGAAAAAAAAATTTTTAAGTTTGAAAGCAAAATGAAATATAGTTAAAAAAGAAACTTGATGAGGAATAATACTTAATTAGTTAGAAAATTATGTCTCGTAAGCAGGTCGTATACAGACGAAACATGGGAGCTGGACTCTTCCTTATAAATGTAGTTTCTATTATATTAATTTTCTCTATGAATTTTCGCAGTAGTTTCAAAAATCTTTTTTTTACATTAACTATCAATTTTATTCAATTTATTACTCATATGAAATGAAAAAAAATTTATTTTATACACTGAGAAAAAAGAGGGCGCGTTGCAGCACATTTTCGAGTCATATTGCGCTGCTCAATCATGATCCACAAGTTTTGAACGTTCAAATGAACGAAACACTTTTTATTAGAAATGTTTTTATAATTTATTGTTTGCAATAAAAATTTTAAATTTAAATTTTACACTTAGAAACTTTATAATTCATTTATTTTATATCGACAAAAAATCATTGTAATAAATATTTAAATTAAAGAAGAAAATAAATAAATTTCGTTCGTTTGAACGTTCAGAACTTTAGGATCATACTCAACCCTGTGTTCTGCTAGACACTTTTACGGGGCGTGCAGCGCTCCCCTGAGTCGAGGCGAGCTGTATTTAAAGTGTTATTACACATACACGCTCTTTGGGGAGCGCTGCACGCCCCAGAAAGTGTGTAGAAGAATTCAGGGTTAAGTCGCGCAACGTGACTCGAAAATGTGCTGCAACGCGCTCTTTTTTTCTCAGTGTATTAATAATATTTATTGTTAATAATAATTATTAATAATAAATAACTAAATATAAATAACAATAATATAATAATATGAATATTTTTCTCAAATTTTATTATAAAGAACTTTAATATTATTTATGAACTAAAAAAATTGATTTGATTCAACCGACCGATACTTGTATATTATCAAATAAATATTTACTCGAATCAAATAATTTTAATTTAAATCAAATAAATTATATTTGAAACAATAATTGTAGTATTTGTTTTAAATATATACGGGTGATTCTCTGCGTAGCGCACGATTTGATTTATGAAATTTAAAAAAAAAAATTTATCGTTATGATTATAATCAATATTATGTTTAAATAAATAAATAAAATAAATAAAGTCATTAAATAAATATATTTTTTTAAAGATAAAGGGCCCAGAAAGAAAAATCCATAGCGGACCGGAAAAATTGTTTATAATTTTTGTTGTAAAAAAGTATAATTAACAAATTCACTGTTTGTACACGTTTTGGTGAAAAAATTTTTGCAGTAATTTAAAAAAATATTACAGCGTGAATCTCATTTAAAAATTATTATTTCGGTAATTTATGGAAATTTATAGAAAGTTGTGCGGCAATGAACAGTAAATTATTGCAAAATTAATAATTAAGAAATTAAGAAAATTTCAGAAATATGTGGAAATTTATGCGGAAATTTATAGAAATTTATGCTATAGTTTATAGAAATTAATATTATTACTCATTATTTACGTGAACTTAAAATCTTCCTTACACTTATGAGTGCTTCAGTGACACAGTTCAATACAGAAAAGCCTTACTATGAAAAAGTGATTCGACCATGACGCACAAGAAAAACTAATTTTTTAAGCAATATATTATCGATTTCAAAAATTCTTTTTTTCTACGTCTTTTGTTTTCTCTAATCTTAGACTACTAAACTTGTTTTGACGTAAAATATAAATAATTATTCATTTTATTGCAAATATATTATGATTCGACCATGACGATTCTGTGATTCCCTATGCAACTTTCATGCTTGTAGGTAACACATATAAAACAGAAAAAAAATTTTTTTAATAATTTACTTAGGAGAGTTTATTGCTGCTTTTTATGAATGTTAAGTAATTTTTCGATTTGATTTTTTATGTAAATTATGCAATTTTACAAAGTGATTTTACCATGACGCAAAAACTGGGGACAAGGAATAACTACTAAAATCCCAATGGGAAATTTACAACTGGCGTAGTACTGCGCCAGCACTGGCGGCAAGGCTGAGAGCCAGCACTGGCATGGCACTGGGATGATAACGCCGTCTGGCGCTGCCGAAGTACTGTCTGTCAGTGCTGCCAGACAGCGCTGGCGCAGCACTGGACCAGTGCTGGCTGAGAATATTGCCGCAATAAATGCCGTATTGTTATTAATTAGTCGTAAATTAATAATTATAAATAATTTAACAACAAAATGGTAAATAATATTAATAAATAGTTATTATTCATAAAATATTTCTCTTCTTAAAGAAATTGTATTAAAGATGGAGACTAACAATGGATATAGTAAATGAAGTAGAAAAAAATTGTTTATAACATTTAAAAATTAAATAATAAACAATTACAGTAAGTGTGCATTAAATTTTCATATTTTAGTACCTAACGATTGGAATCTAGAAATATCGCAAACCTATGAAAATAAACAAAATTGCTGACGAGGGGAATCGAACCTACGACCTACGGACTAACAGACTAACGCTCTAACCACTATGCTAACGACACATGTGTACAGTAAAGTATTAATATCTCAGTATCATTCAGACATACAATTATTGAGTCAAAGATGAGAAAAAAATAGGGATACGTTAGAAATAATAAATTGAAATCAAATAAATTAAACTAAATTTTTAATAATTAAATTAAATTACTTATTGCATTTAACATTTTACGTAATTCTTAAATTACGTGGTAATTTTTTAATAATTTTTTATTCATAGCAAGAAGTATAATACTGCCGTGTGATATAAAAACTTAGTTAACTGACATTTTTGTGAAAAATGAGTTTTTGGTATCAATGAACTCGTAAGAAAAAACTGCGTCTAATAGTTATAGTTTAAATTTTTTTTGCAAATTATTGTTTGTAAAAAATTAATATTAAAAATCTAAGAAATTGCAGAAAATGAAGGAATATTTGATAAAAAGTTAAGGAAAGGACTTTGAGTAGTCCAAAAAACAAACGAGGCTACGAGCTCGAATGTAAGATTTGAAGGAAAAACTTAGTTAAAGGCATTTGTGTGTTTTTTGTATCAAATAAGTAGTCGAGTCTGAGCGTTGGATTTGAAATAAAAACTTTGCATCTGCAACGCTTGCAATTACCTAAGTTATTCCGTCAAAAAGTCAGTCGAGACAGAGCCGAACGACTACTTAACTGCATTCGGCTATAAACTCGGTTTATGCTCGGGACGCAAGTAGCAAGCAGCCGTCCCCTTACCACATGATGTCATTGTCAGTTAGGTAAGTTTTTCCATCAAATCGGAGGACCGAGCTCGCGTACATTTTTGTTGAGCAACTACGCAAAGGACTTTACCTAACTTTTTACTTCACATTTGCATTCGGAAAAACACGCAAGTGCATTTTTTCATATAACTTGCTTAAATAATTAATTTTTTATTTCATAATTAAATAGAGCACCATCATTATACCCAGTATGTGAAGTTGAATTGAACAATTTTTTAATTTTTATTAGGGTTCTGAAAGCAAACAGTTTTTCCTTATTATCTCGTTTCGATATAAATGTCAGTTAACTAAGTTTTTATTTCAAACGGCAGAATATTATTTTAAACAATTGTGTTAAATTGTTATTATTAAATTTAATAAGAATAAAAAATGAACAACTGAAAAGTAAAATATTAATTTTTTTCAATAAATTTATATTTATAAACATTTATAAACTTTTTTATAATTTTTTTCAAGTTTATGTCAAAAAAGCAATGTTGGCAAAGAGCGTTGTGAACAATTTTTCTATACTCAGCCAGCACTTGCCGCCGTGGCTTGTCCAAGCTTTGGCGAAACAAAAATTCTGTACTGCGCCAGCACTAAGTGTCGAGGCTTGGCTAGACTACGCCGAACAATCGTCTGAGTACTAAGCCAGTGGTGAACATCGGCACTACACTGGCATTTCCCATTGGGATATTGCAAAATAAATTTTTCTTTTTGAAAGTATTTTGTTTTTCTAAATTCCAATAACTTAGGCAATAAGAATATGTCAACATTCATTATATTTATTACTATATTTTACTGAAAAAATAAAATTTAATATATAAAATGGTAGTAGGGACTGATTACACCATGACGTTTTCCCAGGCAGAAAAGTTGGAGATGTGCCAGCACTAACGACCGGCATGGTACCGAACCGGTTGTAAAGTCAGACTTATGCCAGTACCGGCAAAAAGGTACCGGGCCGGATATGAAATAAATACCGGCCCAGTACCGGCCCGGTGGTAAATGTAGATTTCTACCGGTACTGGTAGTGTGTACCGGGCCGGTTGATTAAAAATATCTGGCCCAGCACCGGCCCGGTACTATAATTTACTTCTTTTTTTATACCGCCGAAGGAGATTTGCCGGTGATAATATTTGTACCGGCCCAGCACCGGCGTAGCATCGGCCCGGTACTATAATTTACTTCTGTTTTTATACCGCCGAAGGAGATTTGCCGGTGATAATATTTTTACCGGCCCAGCACCGGCGTAGCACCGGCCCGGGACTGTCATTTCGCTCTGGTTTATACCACCGAAGGAGATTTGCCGGTGATAATATTTGTGCCGGCCCAACACAAAAATTTACTTAATGCTTTCTACTGGCACAGAAGTTTTGCCGACAAAAATATTAGTACTAACCCAGTGTCCTCCCGGTTGTTTGCCAATGTTAAACTATCAGAAAAAGAATTAAAGAAAAGAAAAAAAATTTGAAAATTAATTTATTAATTAATTAATTAATTTAATTATTAATAATAAATTAATTAGTTAGTTGTGCCGGCAATTATATTAATACCGAGTAGGTTGCTTATTGGTGCCGGCCCGGCATTTAATCGGTGAATAGGGCGGTTATTATTATTTATAATTACTATTTTTATTTATTTATTTTTAATAATTTAAATTGAATTAAAATAAATTAGAAATACAAATACTGGCCCGGTACCGCACCGGTTGAATATTAGTGCCGGCCCGGTACTGCTGCCAGCTGTAATGTCGGTTGGACTTTATAAGCTCACTTTGAATTTGCTTTCCATATGCAGGTTTAGGTTAGCGGATGTGGTGTCGACTTTGCAGCCTCAGAGTCCGGAGTTCAATTCCTCGAGTCTTTAGATTTTTCTATAATTGTTTATGTTTCTCTGTTTCAGCATTTAATATATTTACTGTTTCCAATTTAAAATTAATAATAACATTGATAATAATAATAATAATTAAACAATTAATCAGACTGAAATATAATTTTTTTAACCGGCCCGGTACTACGTCAGATATTTATTAGTGCCGGCCCGATACGGTTGCCGGATACCTACCGAAGTTATCATCCGGCAATTTACCGGTACTGCGCCGGTGGAATG